TAATTAATACCTAATTCTATGTAATAATCTGTTTTAAAAGGTGTGTATAGTGTACACACAGTCCTTATTTTCTATTTCTATTACATATTGAATTTTTCTATTTTATTTTTACTTGAAGTGTATTTTCTTATCTATTATGTTATTGTGTTGTATCTTGAGCTGCTGTATCAAGCAAATTTGGAATTCTCTTGGTAAGTCTATCTTATCGTATAGTGTGCAGTATGTTAACATGGTGGATCCCCATAAATGAGTTGACTAGAGTTAACTTTATTACCATTACAAATAATTTATGTTTGCATCTTATTGTGCTCATCAGACAGGACAACATTCAAGACCGTCTCCAGCACTAAATAATACAAATAATGACAAACCATCAAATAAATAAAACCTATAATATAATATAATATACTTTAAAGCGCCAACGGATGTAATTCAAGAGTTGAATAATACCATAAAATAAAAAACACAATCTAGCACAAACAATATACCACACATAATTACAAAGAAAATCAATCAAAAGCAAGCGTCTCATAGCCTGAGGAAATGTACTTTACTGAAATGGATACATAAAGGAAAAGTAAGTTAGATGATCTGATCATCTAGAAGATTTCTTGAGTTTCTGCCTTGACTGTAATATAATATTAGTGAATCACTCTATTCCCTCTTTAACAAATATATTTGCCAGTTTCGTCAAGGCTACTCTTAGTGTATAATCAGGAGTCAATGATTTATGCATGAAATGTAGCTTGAAATGCATATACTGTACGTTTTTCGAACAAAATCCTGAAGAACAACGATCATAGTCGAAACACTGCAGCTCAACAAAAAGGTGGCACCGAGCCAACAATGCATACTAACGAGAAGGATTTCTCAAGGGTGTGCTATTGGAACCTAATAAACACTTTGAAAGAGTCATTTGTGCTTGGCATACAAAGATCCAAGAAAATGGAAGAATACGAGTTAATTGCATTTTGGCATTCGTGCACATGAATCCACAGGTTTTTACGAGTGAGGTATTTGAGAGGGTCCTTCATCACAGGCTGAGGATTGAGATTTTGGAGTTTGAAGTTTTCTTTAGAATCTCCTGTTTTTTTGGACCAGGTGCTTATTTTGGAAATAAAGCTGTGAATTGCTTCTGATTCAACATCCCACATTCATGCAGTAGATGTATTGACATCACGCTTATCTGTGTTTTTGGCAACTGTAGATTACATCTTTTCATTTATAGTCAGAAGCATTTAATCAACATTATTCAGCTCTGTTTTTGAATTTGAATGCTTAAATGTTTTTTTTATTGTTGTTGTTGTTTGCTTCAGCTCTTGTGTGTAACAGCAGCTCCTTGGGTTTAGTATCAGAATGATACCTTAACCACATCCTCCTCCTTTTACTGCAGCACGGCCACCGATCAGGAGTGAAACCTCGCTTCGCGATAGCCTCATTCTGCTCTTCAGCATCGGCTCCACTGGGAATAATCCTGCAACACCTAGAGCCAGCCAGGAGAGGTGACAGCTCTGCTCTACCACCACCCAAGTCTGACAGCCATGATTCGGGAAGACCCTCTGCTTCGGCTCAGATCAGGGATCAACTCGCTGCTCAATGGCTAGATCTCACCGTACAAAGAGCTGGGGGCCTTTCTACTGAGGTATGTCTCTGGTTCCCTCTGCAGCACAGGTTTCTATAATTCAAGTGTGAGCCATTTTTGTTCTGTACTTGTTTTGTCGAGTCAAGTGGCAGTCATGTCTGATTAAAACTGAGTGGAACTGGTTTATGTAAATGAAGCTCTTGTACAACATTCCTCAAGACTACTTGTGTATCTGTCTGTATAGAAGTCACCTGATTTAAAAAAAGTATGTGTTAGTCATTGGTAGTGTTTTTTTTAAACCACAATACCACTCAGATTGTGGTACTGTTATCGTGGCATTTTCTCTTACTTCAGTTTTATGCTTTCTCTGACAGCGCCTCAGTTATAGTAACGCTGTTCATTTCTAGGAGCGCTGGATTCGATATTGAAACATTTATTAGGATACCTGGGTTCTCACCTTTGCTAATAAATTATCCATTACTGCTTAATGGTCTCTGGTTCTCTCCTAAGATCGCTTAATAGGAATTGTTTTTCTTGCATAGTTGAGTTGACTTTAGAAGCGGCACGTTTCTATAAAAATCTACTTCTCTCCATTGTTTAAGTTCTATCTGAATAAAATAATTAAAAAAAAGGTATCATCCTAACAATGGCAGTTTAAATCAACTGTGCGGTTTTGCTGCATCGAGCCAGCTATGTCATTAAGCGTTTGCCTCCACAGTCTAACTCGATCTTGTTTTTCTTCGTTGCAGTATCCCTCACTGCATAGTAGCACATGGATTTCAAGACTTCAAATGAAGAGGTTGGTTCATCTATGTAACATTTTAAATTGACTATAATCATAGAAGCCGCTTTGGCATTTTCAAGCGCCTGAAAGCATGTGACTTGAAGCACAAATCTGTACAGTACGCATCCATTGTCACCTGTACAAACAAATGAGTCAACAAGCAAACACACACAGTAAAACACACTTCATGATGTTGCTCCGTTCAGTGTGAACGGCAGAAAACGACAGCTTGAAATGACTTTTAGAAACCATATAAATATTGTATGTATACGACATTACTTACTAGTATTGAACCATTCTGCAACACAGATAGAAAGCTGCTCTCTTTTTGATTGTTTTATTTATTGGTCCTGATTTTGCATTCATTTCTTAAAATGACATGACTGCTTCAAAGTCCTTAGTGTCAGTACAATTAGCATGTTTGGGGACAAACCTTTCTACAACCTACTGCAGGAGTGGACTAAACCATGTATATGTCTTCCAGAGGAGAGCAGGTCTAATATGGTTTTCTATGAGGAATAATGTATCAAACGTTTTATTCAGCCAACGGTAAGAAAGCCCTGACATAGAAGACCTACATGGGTGAAACATGTTTCACCCCCACCTTTTTAATGATTTAGCCACTACAACATAGGCCTTTTATAATATTCTGTTTCCTTCATCCTTAATATTTTTTGGTGTGCTTGGATTGATTCTCTTTCTGTTTTTTTTTTTGCACACATATTTTATCTACAAAGAGCAACAGGTCATTTCCTTTTTTCCTAGCCAACCGTAATAGTTTACTTATCATGCCAGTTATGTAAAATATCAACACTGCAGAACAGGCTTTTAATACTGTGCTTTTTGAGGGCACTCTCCATGTTGGGGTATTTGGTTCCACCACTCATCTTACAACTACACCCCTGGGTAATAAAGAGATTTCCTTGTGTATCTGGTCTGATCGTGATGCAGATAATAATGGAGGGGGGGAATTATAGAGAAACAGAATCGGAGATGAGGCTAATTATCTACAACACAAGCGCTACAGCAGGTCAATGTTCGACCACGTGAGACGCTGTCAGTACCAGCTATGTACAGTTATGGCACTACTGCCCTCATTTTGCTCGGCTAATGACTCTCACGCACACATTACCTCAAATAATGTGTATTAATGCGTCCCTCATTTCATTTCTCATGCTGCAGCTGCTCCAGGCGGAGGCTCATTTCTTCTCATTCCTCATTATGGGTGAAAGATAATATGCTCCATAAACTGACTTTGATTCAAGTTTGACCTGCAGTCTGCTACCACTCGGCTCTGTCTCTAAGAATAGCAACCAGCTGTCTTGTTAACTGATGAGCGACGTATCCCGGGTGACAAGGATGCTGACACTGGTGGCTTTTTTCTATTAGCAGTCTTGTCAGGTGAAGGTGCTCCTTTTATTTAGACCTTTTTAAGTCAAGGACAGGGCAGGCATTGCAATTAGCCAGGGAGGAGGAAGGATATGCAGAATGCAAATTTATGCGGATTAGCATGTTTTAAATGGATCATTGGAAACAGACACAGTCCTCACACAGGGAGATTCAAATATAGAGGGTGAGCATGGTTCCAGCCACTTAATTTCACAGGTTCTTAATTTGTCATCATCCTCATCATCAGCCTTTCACTTACAGTAAATTAGATGATTTAAGTGTTTTTTTCTCTATCGCCGGGGATGTATACAAAGCAAAGAGAGGGCACACAATGTTATCACGACTCTTAAAAACCTGTTTCTGAGAGAGTATGCTCATTATTTGAAATCATAAATCAACAGCTGTCTTGTGTTTTTTTTTTGTCTAAATGTGTATTTATTACTCAGTGTGGAATTATTTGCTCCAGCATTAGCATTAAAAAGGAAAGTCGTAAAAAAGAAAATAACAGACATCACCAAAAGTCTGTATCCTAATTTCCATGTTCATCCTGAAACGAGTATTCTCAATGACATTTCATTTCATGGCCAGTTAATTTACTCAGGGAGGGATGATGAATGATTTTATCTTTCTGACTGTTCGCAGACAAAGACTGGGATTTATTTGATGCAAGAAGGTAATGAGGAGCCGTTTAATATTCGACTACACTTGGCCAAAGATATTCTGACCATTCAAGAGCAAGATGTCATCTGTGTGTCAGGAGAGCCTTTTTATTCAAGTGTAAGTAACCCAGTTCGTGTCTTTAAGAGCTCACACATTGAAATCAGTAACATGTACAGCACAATAAATGACAGTTACAATGAATGTCTGCGTCACTGACAAATCTACGTCAGTTAATCTATTCCTCATAAATCTAATGTAGCCATTAAGTAGTGATTCACCTAGTGCATTGTGGTGTATAGAGTGTAATAATTAGGCCACACTTGTCACCATGTCTGAAAACTTTTTCTTCACATTATTAAGTTTACTGTTACTCCATGACCTTTCTCAAAAAGGCATAACTCATTCAATAACATTTTGCTGTCGAAGACAAACGGAGGAAGCGCTTGTGTCTTCTGAAACATGATTGCTCATTAACGGAAAGGGTGAAGACACGGGTATGTTAATGCAACCTTAGCTTGTCAGAAAGTCCCAGTGCAGACTTATTGTGACCAATTTAAAAATGTGAAATTCCTGCATAGTATCAGAACTAAATGTAATGGAAATGCAGTGACAGGTAATCAAATTCCCAATAATGATATGAAACAACATCTTTGTACTGGAGCCACAGGCTGCAACAACCAATGGAAAAAGGAGTCAAATTACGAACACCTGACATAATTACAGCAAGTGTGAGACAAACAATATAGATCCATAGAATTCAATTGAAAATAGAAAAAAAGAGAAGTTCAACAAACAAACTCGTCCAAATTTCATATCCAAACTTGAAATGGTCAGGATATGTTGTTACTGTCTTCTTACTGTTTGATTGGTTTTTGAAACCCGTGGCTTTTAAAATTAGATCTTGTTTCATATTGTGAATTCGCTGCCTGGCGAAGGTCTACACAGTAAGACCAAAACACTGCATTTTTAATAAACCTAGTGCTGCTGACAGTGTGACAGCAATTTACCAACCACTAGTTTGTCAGAAACGTTCTAAACGGTGTCCCACATAGCAGGAATGGTTGGTTAGTTGAGTGACTGAAACCATCAGTGTAGTATATAGCTGGAGCTGAGTGATTTGGGTTAAATTATTATCTATTATCATGACATACATTTAAAAAGTATATTTTCCAGTTTATATCATGATATTGAAAATGTATGCAACATCACATCAATAGTGATCAAAATTTTGTTAAAAAACATGAACTGTGTTCCACTTGTGTTACAGGTGTGAAACAAAAACTTGTTCTGTCTGTGCACTGAGCTCGAGCCAGGAGGCGATTAGTCTGGCAGCACCTCTAAAGTTCATTAATAAAGAATAAAACAGAAAAGTAAAACTGTTAATTTGTGGTTTTACAGGGAAGTTACCCGCCATAACAACAGCCCGGCGCTGTGACTTTGTGGAGTCTTGTCATTATGGTGAGGTTACCCGGCAACCCGGAGACTGATACACTGTTAGAAATAGTTACAGCATGTAACGGCTTCAAAAACCTCAGATCGTTATTTTTAGACTGTGTGCATGGATTAAATAGAGAGACATAGAGACATAACATGTTAATGAGCTTTAGAGGTGCTTGCAGGTGGTATTGTTGTACTTTTGGACAGAGCCAGGCTAGCTGTTTCCCCTTGTTTCCAGTCTTAATGCTAAGCTATGCTAATTGCCACCTGGCTCCAGCTTTATAATTACTGCTGAGGAAAAGGACAGTGGTATCTTTTCATGTAACTCTTGCATAGAAAGTGAATAAGTGTGATTCTCAAAATGTCTTTTACTTTAATAATACATTTTTGCAAATGTTGCTCATAATCATTCATTTGTACAACATGTTAAGATCATATATTAAGTTAACATTTCACCAAAAGTCTAAAGATGATAATATTTAATTATCACTGCTTTCTATGTATAACTGTTATTGTTAAAGTTAGCTACATAGATACTTTTAATTGTAACTTACAGAAACAGTATATAATACAATAAGGATGTAAAACTTAACATAATTGTTATTTATTATCATTAAATCTTTTAACAAAAGCAGCCCCTTTCCACAGGTTCAGCATCAGTCTGAACTAATTTCTCGATGGTAACTGAATCTCTTCCAGGAGAGGACTGTAACGATCAGGAGGCAGACAATAGGAGGGTTTGGCCTGAGCATCAAGGTAATTTAGATCCCAACCGATTAGGGCTGCACCTCTCAACTTCTTTAAACTAAGTCTGAACAAGTGTTATTGATAATTGTCTTGTCAAATAACAGCATGCTCTGCTTTCAAGTGTCACTGCCTGATTATGTGTTTTGTCTAATTCAATTTAATTTAATTTAATTTAATTTGTCTCCTCAGGGTGGAGCAGAGCATAAAATCCCTGTTGTGATATCAAAAATATCAAAGGAACAAAAAGGTATATTGTTGTTTGGACAAACAACTCCTTCCATTTTACTCCTCTAGTTTGTTTTTACTTGATTTTTTTGTTTCCAGCTGAACTCTCTGGCCTGCTTTTCATCGGAGACGGCATCCTTCAGGTAAAATGCCAAAACTCACATTACTGCCTGTTTACACAGCTCATCCTACTCTGGAAAATAACAAATCTTTAATAATTCATGTGCCACATGTCCACAAAACTGTGTTGAATAATGGTGCATCCCTATAGATAAATGTCACGTCCCCAAGTCTTTCATTTGTTACATGTATTTCAGTAAAAAAAAAAATCTTTCATATCGCTCAGCTCATGATGCATAGGAAACATCTACAAACCAGCCAAAGGCATTCTGTATTCATGGCAACTGTGGATGTGACTCTCTTGTTTACAGTTTTCAGCGCAGATGCCATAACAGTTATTGTGCTTGCCTCATTAATCATTCTGAAGATAGAGCTACAGTGATATGATGCCAGCAGTATTATTTAGGGTAACCCTGTTACTGTTGTTTCTAGATAAATGGAATAAACGTTAGAAGTTATCGCCACGAGGAAGTGGTAAGCTGTCAGCTCATATCTTATATTTTCTTACACTGCAACAGCTCTTTCAACACCTTATCTTGTCTCATTTTATGATTTGTATCTTTTTGACATGTAAAGCCAGTTGTTTCTGTGTCATCCTTTTTTTAAATGTGACTGCAAGAGATATGTGTTTCAGGAGCATAACTTCTGCATCTGTTTAAAATCTCTTATCTTGGCTTTCCATTCTTAGTTAGACATTAGCACACCATGTTTCATCACAGCAAGCAATCAGCAGAAAACCACGCAGTTTACAGCTCATGCAATAAAAATATTCTTGCGTTTTTTACTTTCCAGGTCCAGGTTTTGAGAAATGCTGGTGAAGAAGTGACTCTTACCGTCTCTTTCCTAAAGAAAACCCCAGCCTTTCTGAAACTTCCCCTGTGTGAGGACTGCACATGTAAGAAACACTCCTTCAGTGAAGTATAAAACCCTATTACTGCACTACAAAATAATTAACCAAGAATATTTATAGCTTGTGTTACTTCCTATCAAGGACTGGTTGTCCTGGTGACTATAAACTTGAGCCTGAAGAGCCACTTTGAGAAAAATAAAAAAGTATAAATTCAGAAGCTTCATTTTTTGGATTTGGTCATCTTGACAAGTACTGAATAAAGATGGGACTTTGCTAAAGAGAGGGGTGAAAAAAAGAGGAACGGACACATCTCAAGCTTAACAAAAGATGCTTAAGACTAAACTGATTGAATTGACATTGTTCATTGTGGTGCAACTGTGGATTGCTTTTCCATGGGAAAGCTTCAGCCCGTCATCAGACATGAAAGCTTTCATAAAATCCTTTCATATGCGTATATAGGCCAGGTTGACTGGCCATCCAACCAGTCAACTGAATACAAATTGGCACAGAGCCGGAGCCTACAGTGGAGGAGAACAAAGTAACACACTTTTGTTGATAGCAGTGATTCACTGCAGCTAGAAACCTCGAGTTTGGAGGCTTTATTGACTTTTTTGTGTGTGTCCCTGCTGTACTTTTAGGCATCCCCAGTGACCAGAGTAGTGGAACTTCCTCTCCTCTGTGTGATAGCGGACTGCACTTGAACTACCATCCTAACAACACGGTACTTTTTTCATCAGCTTCTTCTTTGAATGACTGATTCTATAACTGTCCCTCTGTAACCATGCAGCAGCGTTCCCGGTGCCAGAAAGTTGTTACCATGCAACTGTCACTGCTCACTGATAACCGGGATGCTCTATCTTTATCTTTTGAGGAGGGTGAATCAGCTTTCCTCTACAGCTCGCGCTCACTGAACCTGCCTATGCACCTGCAGCAACAACAGCAGCAGCAGCAGCAGCAGCAGCAGCAGCAGCAACAGCACGGCAGCAGCAGGACTCACACTCTTGACATGTCAAGTGTTTGAAACGTGTGACCTGGGAAATGACAAGCTCTTCTAAATTGTGTTTCATGCTTCTGCAGGACACGCTGTCCTGCTCGTCCTGGCCCACATCACCAGGGCTGCGCTGGGAGAAGAGATGGGTGGACCTGCGCCTTATTCCACTGCTCCACTCACGGCTGTCGCAGTACATCCCAGGCTCTGACGCCTGCAGGTGAGCTGCGGGACTTCCATCTTGAAGTGTCAGTGGTGTCAGTCCTGACTTGCAGACCTGGTATCTCCCTATAAGGCTCTGCAGACTGTTAGAGCTTACTAAACATTTTTTTCCCTGCTTAGTGTGTCCTTTTAAACACAATTAAATAAACAAGAAAGTTAAAAAGTGAATTTTACTTACATTAGTTTTGTACAACCGCTTTAGGACAAACCTAGTGAATAGAGGATGTTTGAAGTAATAAACCATTAAGCTGTCAATAAAGACACTTCCATGCATGTTTTAGCCCAATAACTGAGGGTTTCATAAGCATACCATACATATCTACATTGATTAGCCATGTATTAATGGCAATGGTTTCAGTTTATTTTATGTCATAATAAAGATAGACTTCACATCACATCACTTCAGACTTAAAACAGGCCAGAGTAAACATTTTGTTTGCTTCATTGATTTATTTTGGTTATAAAATTGCGAGTATGCTCTTTTTGATAATTTGTTGACATATTTAAAGCGTCAATAATATATTTTTTAATTTTTGTGAAAACAGTGTGACAATGTGAGAGGGGTTGCTAGAAATAGAGATGAAACCTGCAGAGAATTATTACCTGACTCTGCAGCTTCCCTCGGCTTTATGGAGCTTTATAGCGAGTTTCAACTTCTTGTTTAACTGTCTGGTCTGTTACTTTACCGGCATGTTGTGTTCTGCTGCAGCATGCAGCTGTTTAAAGCAAAAAAAAAGCTCTAAAAAACCACAGTACACTATGGCAGACAAAGTAGTATTCATCAGGTGGCCAGAAACTTAAAATGATAATGACTCAAAATGATAATGTTGCTAAACTATTTGCTAATGAGTTCGTCATGTCAGTGTGTCAGTGTGCACAACTTGTTTCCACTCCCCTGTGGCCAAAACCAGCAGTCATTGCAGGTTTAAAAGAAAGGTTTGAGGAATACAACTTACCAAGATGTTAGAAGGGAAATATTAATTGTGAATTTTTGCAGAGGGAAGATTTTAAAGAGAGATTTTTATGCTGGGATGGAATAATTGCTTATGATGACCACCCAAAAATTAAGTTTAGGAAAATATATATCGCAACTAGGTTTCCGGTCTTTACAAGTTGTTTCTCATCAACTTCTGATATAAATGGAAACTAATGGCTTCCTTGAATGTTGTAAATCAATCAAAAGTGTTATGGTATGTATATAATTCCATGATCTTATGTTCTTTCAGGAAAAATGCCTTCCAGGTCATAGCTGTGGACGGAGTTTGTAGCGGCGTTATACAGTTTCCTACAGCTGAAGACTGCTTGGACTGGCTTCAGGCAATAGCGAGCAACATTTCCAGTCTCACCAAGCACAATGTGAGTATGGAACACTTCGCTCTGCTGCCTCTTGCAGTTCCCCAATAAACCAATAAGATACTGGGTTTAGTATTAACGCAACAGACTTTCAATGTGTGTGATTTTCTAACAGTCCTTTTGCAAATGTCACGGCAATAAGCAGACACATACTAATGTCTTTTCACACTATGCATAACGTACACACTTATTTCTAAGAGCCTGAGGTTACAACAGAAATTATACTGCGCTACACTTACTCCCCCCAGCTAAACCTATGCACTTATTTATAATTCACCATGATACGTTAGAGAATAATGATAGCAAGAGACAGCAAGAAACAAAGAAATAATGATGTTGTATTCTTTATCTTATTGTGAGATTTATATTTTTCCAGCTCTTAAAAAACATGGTATGTTTTTGCTTTTGTGGCTCCAGATGGGTGGTGATGCTCAGCAGGGTGCTTGAATACAAACACTGCTAACAAGCTCCATCATATGTGGTGGCTCATAGAAAACCTGACAAAAAGTGTCTCATTTTGACACATTTATCAGCTTGTTTATGTGTATTTTCTTCCATTTCCATGCAGTAAACTGTACGTTACATTTCCAGAGAGCCTGCCTTCTAGAAAACAGGCAACCAGAGAGTAGTGTTGGCTCTTCACATGACATGAATATGACATGGATCGAGCAGCAGTGAAAAACAGGGATCTGTAATTATCGTGTGTCCATTGGTGTGTGTGTATGTGTGTATGTGTGAGTATGAGAGTATCTTCAGGGAATAATGGAGCCCTGGTTAATTGGAGTGGACGAAGTGAATAGCCTCAACAATCAAGAGTGTATTTCTCGCTCTGGCCTTGGCATTTACTGAGGTGTGGGAGTGAGCAAGTAACTTAGATAAATGTTGGATACACAGATTACTGACAATAGAGAGGCAGTAGTAAATGCCATATGATTTTAATATGGCTGAATCATCAGTGATGTCAGTTATTAATATGCTTCAATATGTACCTGATTCTTTTTAAAGAAGTAGGCACTAAAAGAAAAGTCAGGGGTTGTTTGAAGTCGGTAGGATCCTTCCTTTGGCGACCATGAATGTCTGTACAAACTTTCATCACTATCCATCTAATGGTTGTTGAGATAATTCAGTCAGGATCAAAGTGGTGAACCAACTGTCTGACATGTATGTCCTTTATTTGTTATCATTTTAAACTATATTTCTAAATTTTAACATATTTTATAATTAAATATTCTTTAATCATAGTTTAACTTATTTTGAAAAGTTAAGTTTAAGCGTATGCACTCTTTTTTTTTAAACGTTGTATTCATATGATGTGTTTATGTGCTTTGTGTTTTTATTTTATTGCTACACAACCAATTACCCCTTCGAGACAAATAAACTGATTTATTGATTCATTTATTATGCTCAACCAGATCTCGCAAAGATCTTTTAAAAAAACAATAAACTGTAAACCTAGAGACTGTATTTGATGTGCCAAACTAAATATTCATAGATAGCCCCTAGTAGTAAAGAAATAAGCCCCACTTATTAAACAGGAAACCTTGCAAATGAGATGTATAAAGTGGACAAAAATATCACAAACACCTAAAAATATATGAATATCAAAGACCTAATAAAGAGAAGGGTCGTCCTTTGCTTGCAGAGCAGCTTCATTCCTCCTTGGATGTCTGTCATATAATTGAACTGAGCTGTTTGTAGTCAGATGTTGCACCATTCGTCATAAAAAAACGCCTACAGCTCTCTGAGTGATGATGGAGGAGGGAATCCACTCTGTGCTCCACAAATGTGAAATGTAATCTCACTGTTTTTAAACGTACTTGTTTGAACTGAGAGTCTGTTTTTTCTATTATTTTTGTATTTTATTTATTACTTTATTTCATGTCTTTCTTCATTCTGGCCTTTTAAATAATTAAATAGTTATTCTGCATCTTGCATCATTTCACATGTCCTCAGGTAGAGGTAAATGTACATCTATGTTTCAGTAACTGCACATTATCACAATAATGTAGTAAAGAATTTGAAATATAAAGTCTCTCAAAACAGAGATATAAAGTCAAGTACCAGCACCTAAAATTCTACTTAAGTGCAGCCCGTGTAAAATAAGTGTTCCTAGTTACTTTGAGTACGTTTTTACCAATGGGGCACCCATAAACTACAGTGAAAGTTCTCCTGTATGTATTTTTGGATAGAGAAAGAGATGTGTGTTTTATAACGTAAATAACCCCACAGCCTTTCCTCATTTGTGAGGTAGGTTAGACCTGCAGTCACTGTGACTGGTCACAACAACCCACAGCTGAATCTGAACAAACCCACTGTCACTGCTCCCACATATCCAAAACCCAGCTCACATCTTGACAGTTATCTGGTTTCCTTTCAGTCCCTCCGCTGAATAAAAAAAACATTTCCTCCCTCGGTGCAAACTTCAGTAACATTTCAAAATAAGCAGCAGTGACTTGTTCTCGCCTCCATAGGAGGACGGGACCTGGTCTGAACGGCTTAATTTGGTGTTGTGCTCCTAAGAAAGAGTTATATTGATAGTATAGTGTGGATTAGAAGCGAGTGATACCTGTGATGTGAGCAGAATGTTTTAATTTAAAGCCTGACTGCTCTCTCAGTAGTTTCCCCCGCTTTTATTATCACAGAGAGAATGGATTTTTTTAAATGGATTTTTTTTAGGAAGAGCCTCGGGTCCTTGTGGAAATGACTCTATCTATCTCATTTTGTAATTTGCATGCATTGAATAAATGAAGTAGCTCTAACAGTATTCTTTCAGTGCTGTGGTTAACATGTTAGCACAGATACTGTGATTCATAGTTTATTTGTTCTTAGACGGACTGTCACTGATTGTGAGTCCCTACGGGTTCACACAACTGTTTTGAATTCTACCAGTAATTGGTGTCGGGTTGTTGGCAGGAGATATTTTAATGAGTTATTGATGTTCTTGTTACATTTAACAGGTGAAGAAGATTAACCGAAATTTTCCAGTTAACCAGCAGGTAAGATGTTTTTCCAGGCAGCAGGAGAGCAAGAGCTCCTGCTGCTTGGTTAGATTTTTATTTTTTTTTTGTTCCCCCTCATCTTGAAAATCAAGAAGTAAATCTAACCAGGTCAGTCAGTCAGAGAGAGGACACAGTCCTGTCTTGCCAGCTATTGCAACACAAGAGAGAGAGTGTTTGCATCATTAAAGTCCATCCACTGAGAAATGATCAGAAAACAACTTAAGTGCCTTCAGTCAGTCAACTCGCAGTGTCATCTTTCAGTCTAAACATGGGGAGCAAATGAGGGGTTCCTTTTTTCTTTGTTATTTATTCTGGTTTCTGCCTCACAAAAAATGTGGGAATTCACTCGACAGTTCATTTAAGAAATAAAATGGCATGAGACATGACTGCTTGTCCCAAATCTTTCACTGGCTTGTTTTGCAGAAAAGCAAGAAAATGTCTTACTTGAGTTGCAATCACCCTGACTTTAATGAGTACTGATGGTGAGATACACTTGATGTCTAAAATCATGTCTCCGAACATTTGCAGTAGAAGCGCTGCTTTTTTCCCCTGTTGGGCTAACCTCTTTTTTCCTCCTGAATACGTAATATGATACCTTTTGCCTTCATGTAAGGGTCGGCAACGTGACGATACAATAAGATTTTTCCATGCAGTTTATACCGTTTTAGCTAATATCTTATATGCCTCTGTGTGTATTAGACCATTGTGGACAGGGTTACGAATCAATGCGTGCTGAATGATAGTTGGATATTAGAATTTTATATAATTTCATCTGTAGGATTTCACTGGTATTTTATCTGCTGGATAAACCAAAAACTGACATATCTGCATGGTTAATCTTTAAAGCCCCAGAGAACTTCTCAAGTATTTCTCTATAAGATAAAATATTCATGACTAAATGAGCAACAATCCAAGTTAAAATTAGGAAAAAACATCCTTAGATATTATTTATTAATACTCTGTCTGTGTGGTTTGATCAAATTTGATTGACAGTTGCTTTGCAGCGTAAGCAAAGAATCCCAAAAGTGCAATTAAATTTTAATACATATATTGCTAAATTCTGATGGATGCCATTCCCCAAATTCACCCTTTCCCAAATGCACTACCCAGAGACACAAATATAGAAATCTGATGTGAAATAACCAAAATAATTGATTGATGACTATCGATTCCAATCTGATGCAGAGTAATACCAGGGCCAGAATCACTGATACTGATACTTTTTATTATTAATGTACTATTATGTTGGGTTTTATAAGATGAATGTATCATGAACAAACAATTTCTCAATGGATTTATATAAATATAGACATAGAGACATTGTGATATAAAATAATTTTTTTCATACCTTCCACCCCTACTTTATCCTATAATCCCTGTTAATTTCAATGATAGATTATCTACATGGGCTGGGTTGACGAGAAGGAGCAGGACTCCGTTCAGGACCGAATGTATTCACCAAAGTTCCTCGCTTTGAGGGGTTCCTCACTCTTCAAGTTTTCAGCACCTCCTGTAAGTTTTCACTCGGTCCTAATTTGTTTAAAACTAACTTCTTTAAACCGTTAAACTTCTGTGCTTGAATTGATGTTGTTCAACTCCACGGGAGATTTTTCATTTGATGCTAATGTATTGTTGAGGGAGAAAATGCTTTCCTGTTAGAAAAGAAGGAAGCAGCTCACTCATAACCATTTGCGCTGCATCGATCTTCCTCTTGATTGATGATGATCATTAAATCTGTTTACATTCTGCCAGCCACTTAAGTGATTATGACAAGAGGGATAAGCTGTCGATGGTACTGGAGATGGGAAAAGATTGATAGATAACTGAAATAGCCTTCTCAACTTGAATATGCCGATATAAATGGAAAATGCTAATGTGGAATATAGGAGCCTGCTTGTTCAGACGACGTGACAAGCTTCTTTATTACTGAAGTCTAGTTACCTACGAGGAGTAGATGACAGTTTTGAATTCAACAATCATTCATCAATTATTGACCATTCACTAAACTCTAAACAGTGATTGTCCATTAGCAGCCGTAACTAGAAATAGCAAGCCTGTCAAGCTCTGTATTTCTTTCCTCGGGCTGAAGCGGTGTGCATGGGACTAAAGAGCGATAGGCCGACTTGGTACCTAAATTATAAAAGTGACTGTTTCGGAAACCAGAAATACAAGAGCCACAGTATCAGAAATGCAGTCTGTTTATCCGCTCTAACATAAGTTGTAAAACATTAGCGTCAGTGCTGTAGTAAAGACCACCTTTGTCGAGTCCAAGACCAGGACTAGTTGAGACCAAGTCAAGGCCAAGTCCAAATGAGAGAGACATAGTCGAGACCGAGACAAAAAGAAAGGAATGCTTTCGCCATTGCCAAAGAGATGAGTTTTGGCAGCCAGGCATACTATTGCAAGTGACATTGATTGGTCTGCATTGTAACCATGGTTACCATTGTCAGTGCCCGTTCTAGATGGATTTTTGAATTAAAACCAATACCTGTTTTCTGAATGAGCACACTTCATCAATGGTTTTGCTTTCAAGGAGGAAGTTGCTTCAGAAAAACAAAGCTTTGGTTCTATATGGTGAGGTTGCTGCAAAGACCAACTAGATTATTTGGCGAGACCAATAACCAAGTCCGAGTGCAAACCAACGAGTAGCGTTACCTCTAAAGGACAGGGGCGTGTCAACTTATTATGGGGTTCCAGTTTAGCTACTTTAGGAAAAAACCTGTTGACTGTGTGTGTGGGAGCCAAGGAAGACATGTATCATAGTTTAATGAGTGGCTCTGTCCTGCTCTTTATTAGATTTTTCAGCCAAACATGCTTTAGATAACAAACTCAGTGGTTATTCATCCTCAAATTCATCCTCCTTTTCTCTAGTAAAAGTAAATAGGACTGTTTAAAAATACAAACAAAATCTAACCACAGTGGTTCTCGTCCAAGTTGTTTCTCGGGTTAGAGTGAATAACATTTTAATTACATTTTTATTTATTCAATGCTGTATTTAAATACAAGGACTAATAGCTTTACCCTGCAATACACGATCAGTACTATTCCTAAATTTCCATATCTTCTACATGGAGTTTTTAGCATTAGCATTAGCTTTTGCTAACTGGCTACAGCTGGTAAAAGCCATTCATTTCAGGAGACTAAATCCACAGTCATCTCCTAGAAGGCGGCAGCTTCTGTTTACTTCTGTGTGAAATTGAGGAACAGCAGTTGCAAAAAATTTCAAGTGGTAAATCTGTCAGTGTTTTCATTGTAAGCTGTAAAATGAGGGGAGCTCAACAGGCGTAGTAAGGGGTGAGGGGGTGTTACTGTTTCTCTCCCTTTTATAAAGCCATTCTTCAAATCAAAGATAACATTTATGTGACACTTTTCAGGTGACAACATGGGACTGGACCAGAGCAGAGAAAAGCTTTACTGTGTATGAAATAATGTGCAAGATATTAAAGGTAAAGTAAACTTTTATATTTCTCTAAACATTTAGAGAGGCAGCCTTCACACGCTGGATACATTGAGAGAATATTAAGTGGAAAACTAACTAACTTATATAACTCACTGATTTTTTTGCATGTGTTCTACTTCCCACAGAGACACTCAAGGTTCAGATTGTATTGTTCATTCTCTGCAGGTTTGAGGTCACTTTGAATTTGATTGTGAGAATTTATCTGCAGTTCATTATCTCGAACCTCATTATGGCGAATTTAATTCATATTGATTCACATATTAAATCAGATATAAGTTGACCTACACTGCCATACCTATTACACTCTGCCATTTGGGTTACATGAAGCTATAAAAAGATACATTAGGGTAAAACACTGTGGTTCTTGCATATATAGTATGCATTACCTTCATTTAAGGATTGAGGAATTCATGTGCTCTTAAAGCCGCAGTCTACAGTCGTTACTCAGTCATCAGAGTACGTAAACCTCCCTTTAGCTTCAGGAAACTGCATTGCTGTTGCTTTGTCTTATCTCCGCGTCACTCTGCCCATCTGTACCTGATCAGCATGGCAGCCGTACTGTCTTATCTTAGGATAATGACCTTCTGGACAAGAGGAAGCACTGCTTCAGCGTCCAGACGGAGAGTGGGGAGGACATGTTCTTCAGCGTGGAACTGGATTGCGAGCTGCTGATCTGGGAAAAGGCTTTTCAGATGGCCACTTTCCTGGAGGTGGAGAGGATACAGGTCTGCACCTGAACAGTAGGCAACGTGCAGGGAATTGTGACGATTTTAATCTAGCACACAGTTCCAGCTCAGTTGTTTTAGTACAAAGATTGATAATGCTCATGTGACATATTCAACAGAGCAAAAAATACTTTTATGTCCTTGTGGGTAACATCTTATTCTCCTATTCTGTAGTGTAAAACATATGCCTGTATCATGGAGAGCCACCTCATGGGACTGACAGTTGACTTCAGCATGGGCTTTGTGTGCTTTGATGCAGCTTCAAAGGTGAGTGTCATTTATCATCAATAAAAATAATGAAAATAGATCCTTTCGGTTGGAGAGTTCAGACACCGTTGTACACAGTGTGATGAAACCAATCGTGATGCCTCAGCCTCCCTTTTTCTTTTTTTGGCGCTACTAACTTATTCTGCCCTGTGTGCATTTTGGGAGTATGAGCACATTTGTTTTGACGGCTGGTTCCCCCCAGCTCAAACATCTCACTCCTGCCTGCAGTTCATTTTGGCCTTTCCCCAAGTCTGAGAGCCATGCAGACTACTCCACTGGTGCACATTATGTGGATGAGCTGGACACGAGCTCTGCCATATTGTTCTCTAAGATTTTGGCCCTAATTCCTGCAATGTGAAACAACAATGTTCCCCAAGGACGCTAAAAATGTTGCCAGCGTATTGTTTACAGAGAAAAATGCACAAAACACAATCCATATGTACACTGCAACTGCAGACAATACACTGTGTGGGATTACTCTGTAATTAAAAGCTGCTATTGGCAAATTAAAAAAAAACATATTAGAATTAGTTTCAATCGGAAACAGGACAAATATAACTCTATTTCGACAAGTTGAGCTGTAATCTGCTGGCTCAGGACCCAGTGAGATGTTTCACCATGGCTCTAGTTTTAATCAAAAGCAGCAACGTTCTTGTATAAAAAGACAATTTTAATTGGAACATATAGAACAAGGATGACTGAGACATACTGTATGTTGTCACGCACAGTTATTTATAATGTTTAAAGGCATAAAACACAGCTGTGTAGTGAATACTTACTGCAAGAAAGCTTTAAGTTTGACAGCCACACCTGTTCTTCACGCTTCCTGCATTTAGAAAAAAAACGTAGGGCTCAGCTGGCGGGTTAGCTGGTTTGGGCCTTTCTCTGTGTGCATGTTCTTGCCATGGCTATGGTTTCTCCAGTTCAACAGCAGTCCTGCTCAGTATGGGTATGCATAATAGGTGAATGGATTAAAAAAAAAACATACTGTATTATAGTCTGTTCAATAAATGAACATAGAGAGATAAACCACAACATTTTAATATATGAAATGGTGGTTTTACACAGAGCAAGTGAGCCACTCATCTGGTGAGGTGTTGAATTAATGAGCTAAATTGTGAGAAACACACAAACACAAACAAAGGAGGGAAACAGCAAGCAAACATGAAGTTCATGTTAACTTGACAATTCTGCATTAGGAAGGCCATGAAAAATAATCTGCTAAAAAAATGCATGTAGTAATGTCCTCTTTTGATCTATATGATACAGACTATATTATATATCTTGTTATATCATTTTATTATTATTAAGCATGCATTGATGTAAAAGCAGGAGTTTAAATGCTGTTGTAATGAAGTAAAAAGTACAATATTTCCCTCTGAAATGTAGTTCACGTACCATTTTCCACCACTGGTAATTACAGAAGTATCTGTAGGTGTCATGTGACTGTCATTTGGTAAAACACAGACTATAACATTTTCTTTTAAAATGTAGTGAAGTAGAAATATAAGATATAAGATAACACAGTACTTATAGTGAGTTAAATGCCACTGCTGCAGCAATACAAAAATAAAACTGAGCATTGCAGACGCAGAGCTCTTCTCATGACAAGTAACTCTATGAGGAAACAGAACTAATGGAATATTTCAATGTAGGTCACAACACAGATATAATATTAGATGCTTGTGATTGACATGAAGGAGATAATGTTATGGTGAGTGAGTTTGAGAGGTGACACTCACAAATATCTGCTCGGATCTAAAAAGAAGTTTAAAATATATCAGTGAGATTTCTTGTGTATGGTATGTTAAACATGATTTCTCATGTCATAATTAATCAGATTGGTGTTACAGTAATTATTACAGTGGCAGGAACAGTTAGCGCAGTATTGCAGTATGTACTGAATAGATACATATTCATGTGAAGTGTGGCCAGCTGTCTACCTGAGGAGTCCGTCTGGAAACGGACTGTCGTCTGGCTCACTGTGCAGCTTTTGTTTATTCAGTACAGCACTAATTGAATCACTGAAGGAAGCTCTGCTATTTCAGGTGAAATTGCTGTGGCTTGTTAAATTTCCCAATGGCAAAAAATAACAAGTTTATGTCTCACAATGACTGGTATCTAGTTGATCTGCTGACGTGCCCCATTTCTCACTGGATCCATGTGGATTTTAACATGAATTATTCATGAAATAGTGACACAAGAAGGAATTCGAAAATTCGATTGCAGTAAATAAAGACTTTAAAGTTGCATTTTAGTTGTTTAAAGTTACACTTGTATAATCTTTGTAATTTCTATGTTTCAGGCAGTACTGTGGAGATACAAGTTCTCCCAACTAAAAGGATCATCTGATGATGGAAAAAGCAAAATCAAGTTTTTGTTCCAAAATCAAGACTCCAAATCTATTGAAGCAAAGGTAATTCACTTTGAGGGGTATTTAATGAATTACTTATATGACTTGAGTATTGATTTTTTTTTCTCTTTCAGGAGCTGGAGTTCTCAAACCTCTTCGCCGTGCTTCATTGTATTCACGCTTTTTTTGCTGCCAAAGTTGCTTGCCTGGATCCGATGTTTGTGGAGAGCCAAGGCACCGCGACTACCACTGGGTTTCCTACTCTTTCCAGTATCTCATGTAATTCACAGACACCTAAACTCAAATACGCCACTTGACAGGCGCTGCTCTCCCCACAAACCTTCTAAAAGGACACTTAGTTGTGACTGTGGCCTAAAATGTGGTGGACAGGAGAACTGGAAAATGTTCAAATTTTGACATTATGGAGGACAGCTGTATACGGTGGTGGAATAAAAGACCTCGTTGGGAGTGATATACTTGATACCTTTCAGATTTCTGGGATTTCTGGAAAAAATTTTGGACCTAAACATGAACCTCTACTTTAAAAAACTTCCCAAAAAGACTCTACGGACACAAATGTGCGATTCAGAAATGTTTTTAAGTGAATTTGTCCTTCTCTTGATCCTCAGACATCCTTATAATCAACACATCACAAAGAAAAATGCAGTTCTTTTCCCAGGGTAGTCTGCTTTTCTATGTAATTTTATTCAACTTTTGAAGATTTGGAAGAGTTAAAACAAATCAGATTTTAGCCTTTTTTTTGTTTCCACATGACACAGTACATCACTTGAACGTCTGCAAGGATTTGTCTGGACACTGGATATGATGATGTAGTATGATGATGCTTTCTATATTTCCATTTTTGTGTGTTCTTGAGATGAAAACTTTTACCTACATTCATACTTCAATTAGCAGTAGAATGTATTTTTTCCACTGGAGTGTAATTAGACTGAAGCTAAATGGCAACACCAATCTAATAATGAATTTGAATTATGACTAAACTGAATGAATGCCTTAGATCAGTTTGTGTCGGAATATACTGAGTAACTTCATTTATTTTTCTCTCTATATAAAATACACCCACAGATTTAGGTCAGAATTTAACTATTACCCAGATTACTGGATAGAAAAGTTGTATGAGTGTAGTTTTTATTGTATGGATGAAGAGTGACATATTAATATACAGGTTCACAAACCGCACAACCATAATCTGACGATACCACTCTAAACGTGATTAAAAACACCTTCCTTCATGTTTATAGCATTTTTTTCTCTCTCCAAAAACTTGATTATGTAAATAAACACTGACATTCAAATGAACTCAAAGAATTATGAATGATGGCGATTACTTGAGGGATTACTTATAGGGATTATTCCATTTGTTAATTTGATGTGCACCAGAGACGACTAGGTAGATAGCTCATAACCTCGTGCTCTCTTCATCGTTTACTCTGTGGACCAATTTAAAAGAATAAAATCAGCTATGGTGTATTTTTCGAAATATTTGATCTTTTTTTGTTTTTTAATTCAGCATGTAAATATGATAACTTTTCATTGACAAAGAGAAAATACACCGCCAGGAAAATAGAAATATGTAGCGTCATGGCCTCCAAAGGTTCGAGATGCCCCTTTAAATTTCACTCTAGTATTAAGCTGTTTATAAATGCAGCAGAGTGACAAACTATCATATTCAAAAAAGAGTTCAGGTCAATTAGCGCAATTAGTCATGCTCTTACCTTCCATTTACAAAGTAGAATCCAAACAGAAGAGGCCCATGGGTAGGTAAACTCTAGAGGATAGTAAATTAAATGGGGTCAGTAAAGTGCTTGGTACAGTGCGGGCTTATTAAGCTGACATGAGTGTATGAGGGAGACTAATGGTGGTGCAGTCTATGCAAAGAAAGTCTGAGTGATGCCTTTGTGCTTTAAAATTATCTCGGTTGCATACCCTTATAACACAGGATCTAGAGAGTGAGGTTTATTTTATTTTTTGCAGATGTTTTATTAACAAATATGCTGTGTAATAAATTAATAAATAAGAACTTTTATAACATGGCTCACTGGTGGTCGGTTTTATTTTTCATGTATTCCACTGATTGAGTACTCGAATCACATTCTCAGATCTTAGTTAAATATTCTTTGCGTGTTAAAAATGCATTTTGGTTGTACTCAAAAATGTGCTATGATTTCTGCTATTTTTTCGGCATACTAATTTTGCACTTGGTGTATTAATGATATGTAAGCAGCTTAAAATATACTTGACTGCTCAGGAATAGTTTGACAGTTTGAGAAATATGCTTTGGCCCTTCTGGCCCTGTCCGAAGATAACGAAACCTACCTACCAGCGCTTCTCAAGATCAATAATTAACACCTTATTGCTCTGTTTTATCTGCATCAAAACCAACATAAAAACATCAATTTGCTAGCGGTTTTCCTTGTTTGCACTCTTTAAGCTAAGCTAAGCTAAGCTAAGCTCCCCAGCCTATTGCATTAGGTTCACAATTACAGCACAGACACTGAGAGTGCTATAAATCTTCTCATCTAACTCTCGACCATAAAGTGAGTACTGTGAGCATATTTCCTAAAATGGTGAAGTATTCTTTTAATGACATGTAAGCAGTACTTACTTAATTGTAATTGAAATACAATTTCTTCTACTCAGTATAAACATACACTATTTAAATCTACTTAAATAAGTATTTCAGGTATGATATTCACATACATAAATTATAGCCTACAAAAGTATTTTGGGAATATGAAATGTGTATGTATTCATAGATCTCAGGTAATATAATCCATTTTAAGTGTACTACACACAACTTAAGAGGTTTTCAGTCAAGTGCACTTATTAGTCAAGTATATGTGGATCATATATTGTTAATACATTATGTATAATGTTCAGATGTCATCAGGGTCATCTTTGCCTGGGCTTGCTGGAGTTTCACCCACACTAGAGACTAAAACTCAGGATATTTCTTCCTCTGCTGTTCCAATTTTGACAATTCTTTTTAAATCTGTCACTTTGTGAGTCCTTCAACTTCATAAGAGTGCAGTAGAAATCCGCTAAAATGCACCTAAAGTTTAGAGAATTCCTAGTAAGAAACAGAAGCCTTATAAAATAAAATATTTTCAAATGACTTCAAGGTTGAAAAAACAGTTTTACAAAGCAGTTTCTATTTAGATCAAAACATAAATCTTGTACCTATGTTATCTCTCTGTTTTCTGCAGGCAAGGACTGGGGACAGGATGTTAACGAATGTTAAAGGACCAGTGTGTAGGATTTAGCGGCATCTAGAGGAACTGAACACCGCTGGCATCTGTATTTGACAACCTGGGAATGAGAATGGGGTGTGAAGTGTGAAGGAGAAACTATGATGGCTGTGAAACTCGCACAAAAAGCCCATCTCGAGCCACTGTTTTAGTTGTCCTTTCTAGGCTACTGTAGAAAAATGGCGGTTCAATATGGCAGACTTAATGGGAGGCAACCTGCGGCGTCTGTGGATAAAAATGTATAAGGTAACAAAAACATGATTCCTATATTCAGGGCCATGTTACACTAATGAAAACATAACTATGAATGTTATAATCCATTTCTGCCAATAGATCCTCCCAAGTTGACCTTTAAGGGAATATTATACAATAGATTTGTAAGAGATAGTCTCTTGAGTTCTATGTTTAAATAAGTTTATTTGTGTCTGCTTGTCTTACCAAGCAACAGCTGTAGTTTATTTATTACTACTGCAGCGTGTAACTAAATCTAGTAAAACTGCTTGTACTTGGATCAAAACAAGTTCAGCAAATTCCCAGTCTGAAACAACAGCTTTACAATTTCATATCCTATCAAATGAAATTATATATTTCAGTAGATATGAGGTTTAAAACCCCCATCAAAACACACCTCTTGCACCCATAATACCTCTGTGTTTCCTGCAGACAAAGGTTGGCGAGTTCTATCAGACATCAAGTATATTATAGTATAAATTCATAATGCGTACAGTCTCAGATTTTATGTGCAAGTTTACTTGTTTTTGGTTATTAGATGAGGAATTTAAAGCTGCTCCAAGTAACTACAAGAGATGCAACTGAAGTTTATTTGATCATTACATTCACACAGCCTGCCATTAAAAAAAAGCCAAAGATGAAACAGAAAGAAAGCCTGTCGCTATGTTATCAATTCAAAGTGGCAGTGACAAAAACAAAAAAAAGGTCATCACAAGCGTGCTAGGGATACCAGAGTGGGACTTTTACTACTGTTTCTCCTTCAAATCTGCTTGCAATGACATCTCCTTCGCACGTCGGACATACTCGAGAAACCAAACAAGACACTAAAAAGAGCAGTTACAATGATTAGAAGAGACGTAATGTGATTGTGACCTTTATTTTTGTGCCAAACATTTACGGAGAAACAACACATTTTCAGAATGAACTGCACACACTATGAGAAATTAACCTGGGCCTGATAAACAGTAACAGAACTGTTTTGGCTCTTGACAAATTAACTTAATATAAAAGCACAGAATTGGTTTTGACTTGGTCTTTACTGGGTGCCATTTTTGTAGCCGGCTCTCGTCCACATTAAACGTAATCACAGCAGTCCCATTAACTTTGGTGCAAGGCGTGACCTGAGAGTCGAGGTTGTAGGTCCCCTGCTTTCAATACTTAATGTGCTCTCTAATTAGCAATTACATTTTAGATAATGGTATATAAACTGTCACATGCCTGTAATTGGTCATGTGAATTTTAATGGATACTACACAAATCAAATGGGACTATGTTGTTATTGGTAATTATAAGCTGAAAAATTATTCCATTATTGCTTACTTGCAAAGCTTTCTGATGAATGTAAAAAAAAAAAAAAACTTACAGAAAATAAATGTTAACTCTTCACACACAAAACTACTAATAGAATAATCACCCCTGTTTTCAAACAAAATATTTTTCATTACACCAGAACAAAATGAAGACCTATAGCACTAATATATCTTATCTATTTAACAGACAGCAGTGGAGTTTTGATCTACGAGTTCCCAGTGTCAAGATACAGTACAGCAAGAGGGTGCTACAACAAACCAAATGCAAATTAAACTGTATGCAGAATCATATGATAACAATACATATATATCACTTTTATATTGAATAGAATTAATATCAACAACATTCAACTCAGCTTTTGGAATACTAAATTATGCATTCAAAGTAAGATGACTGTAAAAGCATGAAGAAAAAAAGTGTGTGGCGTCTATCAGTGATGTGCTGTTTTTCTTTTTTTTTCACTGTGGAATGTTTTTGTATAAATATGACATTTGTTTGGGTAAATTTACTGTGCCAGCAAACTCACAGAAGTCCTAATGTGATGGGTTACGTTGGCACTTAGAAGCCATCACTATCAGGGAAGTTCCGCAAGCAAAATTGTACTTTGATTAAACAGGATTTACATTACAAGTCCAGTCCACGATACAAATTAAGCCAAAAAATGGCACCTTTTTTTTTTTCACTTGAGGACTGCAGAATAAGGTGCTTTGCTGGACACGTCTACAAGTCCAGGATACAAAAGGCTTCAAAATCCTCAGCGATTCTAGTTTGCATTGTTGTTGATTAAAAAAAAAAAACAACCAACAAAACGCAGTACTATACAGAATTTGAGATTTGTCTAAAGGCCATCTAATTGATTAATATTCTTTAAATCCTTTTTTTTTTTAATTCTATTTTCGGACTTAATCACCTGGGACATCACCTCCAGTGATCAATCATAAGATGTGAAGCAAAGTCAGGAACACCCAACACATTTACAGTATATTCATGCATGTACTCATTATTGACTAACATCTCCCCTTAACCAGTTCCCTCCAAAAATAAAGAAGAAAAAAGCGAACCACCATTGAACACCCGTCATCAGCGTTATCTTATTTTAAACCTCTGATATGATTAATCAAAATAATATACTATTTGCATCAACAATGGAAAGGAAAACCATGGAGGGGAGGGCTTACAACACCGTATCATATCAAGTAGGATGTCAGCTACTCAAAGTGAGGAAACAGAAGTATGTAAGCACCCTGTAGAAAAAGTTACATTAAAAAGGTGCCCTGTAGAAAAAATTATGAACCAATCTAGTCTCTCCATGATCTCTTGTAATAGGAAGGTACAAAACACATTGACTGAAAATGAAATATCAAGAAGAGTAATGACGTAAGTGTCCCGTTCATGATTATGCAAGAACGTCTTACTCTTGAACTGAAAATGGGAGGTTGTGGCCTTATTTGCCTTTCAGTGTCATTTGCTCCATTCAGTATCATTAAATCATCTGACACCGAGAGTAAGTCAAAGCTTCTAAAAAAGCTGCAATAAAAGTCTTCTTAGCATGATCATATTTTAACAAATATAGTAAGAACTTTGTTTTTTTTTTATACAATTTTCAATCTGCACACTTCTGCAGAAATCCTGACATTGTGATAAAATCTGAATCTCAAAACGGGTTTGTGAAACTATGTTCATTTAGTATACTTTTTACATTGTTTTTTGTTTTCGATATACAAATCAAAAGAAAATGTCAACAAACAACTCATGACAATCATAACATTATTATCCAATATTATCTATGACGTATCTTTCTGTTACAGTTTTGCCATCAAGATTTAATGGAAATAATGCTACATTTGTACTGAAAAGGGTGAAGAAAAGCATTTCAGCAGGCGCTGCACCCATTAAGAGTGGATATTGAATGAATCAGTCATTTCTCTCTGTAATACAGCAAATATGCTTTCAGTGACTCAGGCAGTGGTAACGCCATTATTTGGTCTCTCAACACGTTCACTTGCTTGAGGATTTCAATGTCGCCAATGTCTCTTTCTTCCTCCTCCTCCACTTCCTTGTGTGCTTCCTCTGGGTGCTCCTCCTCCTCGCTCTCTACCATTTGGGGGATCAGCTGGTTGCCTACAAAAACGTAGGTGTTGATGCGTCGCCGTCGGCAGCGCCTGCGTTTGCGCTTCTGAGGAACTCTTTGCACCGTCTCCTTCCCCTGACTGTCCTCGTTGGCCAGGTTTCTGAGGGTGCGGCGTATGTAGATCCGAGACAGATCCTGAAGGCTGCGGACAGTCACTGGGGCTGAGGACAAAGAGAGATGACACAGTCCTTCAGGCCAATGTGCCACAAAAATGAGAATAATCCATACAACTGCACCAGCCATTCAACTAGGTCAGCATAAACAAGTGAGCCCATCAAAAAGAAACTGTGTCTCGGTATATAAAGGAAAGAAAAAAATAAATAAAGAAAATAACTGGCTCCTTGGAGCAGCTGCAAGGCGAGCTTCATGTGTCAAAGCAAATATTGCTGCAGGAAACTTCTCATCACATCACTTTGAATGTACGGTCTTGACTTTAAAATATTGCCTGCTTTGCACTTCAAGACCAGTTAGGCTTAATAACAAAGAATCTGAGGGGTTTTTTTGTTTGTTTTGTTGAGGACTCACGCAGCTGGACAGTGTCAGGCTTCTCTCCATCAGCTCTGCTCTGCTGGACCAAGGGGGCAAAGGACACCGCCAAGATGTTTTTGCTCTCCCATGTGCACTGGCCAGTCCTGGTTATCTGGGTCAGCTGCATAAAGAGACAAAACCTGAACTCAACACTGAACCCTTATAAAATATGAATTACAGTATAGCATTAGGGAGCAAGGACTAAGGGCCTAAAACAGCACAGTTTCTTCAATATATATATATATTTTTCTTTTCAGGCTGGTGGATACTTTTTGCCCTTCTGTTGTTGCTTATTGGGCATTTTTGTATATTTGCCACCTGAACAGAGATTATTCCTATGGGAATGTGTCTACTCTACACTGTTGCAATTATCTCTGCATATATATACACAGTATTCGCTTATTAAATAAAATTCACACGTCTAATGATCTCGCTTCAAATTCCAGGTGTTTGTTATCGCTGGCAGATGTACATACCCTGTGTACCCAGAGAAATGTATACCATGTGCCTGGAGAAAAATAGGCTCTTCTTTACATTTGCATATGTGCTGCTATATCAAATGAGTGCATAAAACATTAGCTCCACTTCCACACTTATATGTATGTAAACAGATTACAGCCAATGGGCTTAAAGATCCATCTAACAGCATCAACAAGACAGGGAAGTTGCTGAGGTAAAATATAAACATGTGACCAAACAATGAGTCACAGACTTTATCAAAGCAACTTAAATTATATCATTTATATCACAATATTTATTTTTCATGTCATATTTTTCTCCCTGGGAAATCAGAGAAGTTGTTACTGGATAAAACAGAAATGCCTATTTTTGAATTATCCAGAAAACACCTGACAAATCAAAGTCACATTGATGCAAAAATCATATAAAATAATATTAGAACCTTTATTCAATTAGGTAGTCTCATTGAGATCAAGATCTCTTTTGTGCAACAGAAGAAATAAGAACAAAGATAAGACACGTACCAAAAAGACAGCCAGTCACACACAAACACCAGAAAGAAGGACAAACATCTCTAAAAAGGCCCAAAATTAAAAGTCTAAATTCATCCATTGGGATTAGACTTTCAAGTTTTAAAGTCCTTTGTAAAAATCTGATATTGCCATCAATCAGTTCTCCTCATGATTTGCAGCACTGCTTACAGTGGCCTAATACTGCCAGCTGTATTAAAGGAATAACTACCATCTTAAAAACTTTCTTAAATCGATTAATGTGCAAATTAATTAATCTAAATTAATCAATTCATTGTTTGGCCCATGAAACATTTAAAGAAGAGTGAAAATTCCCTTCATATTTCCCCCAAAGCCCAAGGTGACGTCTTCAAATATCTTGTTTTGTCAGACAAACATTACAAAGAAAAGGAAAAGCAGAAAATTCTGACATTTGAGAAGCTGGAGCCATTAAACGTTTGTCATTTTTGCTTGAAAAATGCCTCCAACAATTATTCAATAATCAAGAGAGTAGCCAAAAAATGTCCTATTGCTCAGCACTACTAGACATATCATCAAAATGTCCGCTTGGGCCATAACAAGTAATTAGCTACCAGTCCCCAGTATGACAGTTATCAAAACACGATTAAACAAGGCCATGGACTCATGCGTGGTGAGTGAGTGTATATCTTGGTAGGGGGAGGTGTAATGGTTTCAGGGGCATTCATGTGGCAAACAACATTTCCATTAATACCAGCAGTTACTGTACATGCCTTAAAGTCATGAAAAGTTCATCCATTCATAGGCATCTTTAATGCGCTTCATTCAACAGGATAATACTCACTGTCTTACGCAAGGTCTCCATAGAATTTTCTTTCAATATAGCCACAATATAGGAAACTGGTTGCATTTTCTCTGTTTATACTGAGCATATTTAAAATAGTATTTTGATTAAGGGTCATAAATGCAATGTACTGACCAAGGATCCTGAGCGGATGCATAGGGATCCTTTTATGTCTATGTTATGTTTTAAAACACAAAAAATGCAGTTACAGATGAAAAAGCGTGTTTCTTAATGTTGCTTCTTCACATTAGTACCCAGCCATGTCTTTGAAGATATTCAGTCATACGGTATGTCAGCATTTTCAAAAAAAGCTCTGTTCTCCCCCCATACTACACTGTGGTCCACTCTGGAGAGTAATTTTAAAAAGCTTTTTTTTTTTTTTTTAAGGTTGAGAGCGCTGGTTTTGTGCTGATGAAAGGCTACAACAAAGAAGAGGGAGAAAAGATTTTGAAAATTATTCGCATTAGTGTGGACATGGCTTCAGTGAATATGGCTTTCATGCTGTTTAGCTCTTACAAAGATCTCTGATCAAAATCATGTTTAAATATTTTCTCATGATTCATAAGTGTGTAGGCTGTTTTCGTACCTACCAATGCCTTCTTCCTTCTTTAAAAAAAAAAACAGCATAACATCTTAACATCTGAGATACACTCAGGCCTTAGTTAAATAACTGACAACATAAAACATCCAGATTGTGGGTCACAATATCTAATCTTAGTCATTCTTTGCTTCACTTAAGCTCCTTTTCCCCTTAAAAGCCTTAAACTGGCTAAAATGCTCCACTATGAATCTGTCAAGATCTTTACCCTCCTCCTAGAAGGTTCAGGTTCCTGCCAAACGTTTTCTCCACCAACTTCCCAAAGTATTTTTAATGCCCTCTTATATGCCCCACAGTCTGTTCACACTCACACAGCCACCATTTTAAACATGTATTTATACAGCCCTGTGGGCCCCTTGCACGTCTGCTCAAATCCAGGGGCAGTTGTGGCTCAATAATGCATGTAAGAGTTGCATAACCAGTCTTGTAGGTCAAAGCTATTTTACCTGGTTTTCCCTCATGTGTTAGCATTTTGAATAGCAATCATGATGTGTTGATTCTGTATGATTCTGATGGCTTGTAGCACTTACCTGATCCTCTATAGGCATTACCAGAATGCCTCCAATTTTGAGCAGTACTTTCATGTAATTTTCATGGTCTTTCTGCACTCCTGCACCACAATAAATGCGATCGTATTGGTGGCTGTCTGTAGCGATTTCAAGGCAATTTCCCACCACAAAGACGGGTTCACAGAACTCAAACCTGTGAAAAAAATAACAAGTGTGGTGGATAAAATACACAAAACAACAATGGAAATCATTCATTTGCAAGACAAAGTCTTAAGGACAGTAACTGGCAGGTAAAACTGTTACTAGTGCCTGTGGTTTGAATACATCCAGTTTTGTTGAAGGAATAGTTTTTTTGGGAAATACGCTTATTCGCTTTCTTACCGAGAGTTAGATGATGAAATTGATATCACTTTCATATCTGTCAGATAAATGTAAGTCTGCAGCCAGCAGCTAGTAAGCTTAGCTTAGCAAAAAGACTGGAAACAGGGGGAACAGTATGAATGGGATTTAGCATATATACACAGATCAGCCATAACTATAAGTGGTGAAGTGAAAAACACTGATTATCTGGTTATCATGGCAACTGTCAGTGGATCGGATATGTTAGGCAGCAAGTGAACATTTTGTCGTCAAAGTTGACGTGTTAGAAGCAGGAAAAATGGGCAGCGTGAGGATTTGAGCGACTTTGACAAGGGACAAATTGTGATGGCTAGACGACTGGGTCAGAGCATCTCCAAAAGTGCAGCTCTTGTGGGGTGTTCCCGGTCTGCAGGGGTCAGTACCATTAAAAGTGGCTCAAGGAAGGAAAAGTGGTGAACCGGAGACAGGGTTCACGTGTCACGAGAAGGCTGCCCCACAACAACGAGCTACTGTCGCTCAAATTGCTGAAAAAGTTAATGCTGGTTCTGATAGAAAGGTGTCAGAACACACAGTGCATGAAACCAGTGTGCCCAGGTGGTCATAATGTTATGGCTGATCGGTGTATATATAATCACATCAGTGAGCGCTAAAGGTGCTGGTAGGCAGAGTGTGTTAACCTTTGGACAGAGCCAGGCCAACTGTTTCCCCGTCTCCAGTCTTTATGTTAAGCTAAGCAAATCAGCGTATTTGCCTAAATGAAATATCCCTTTGAAATATGTACTTACTTATCAAAGCTGTCACTATTCTTTATGAAATCATCCAGTTTCTCTCTGGCATATTCAACCACGTCCTTATGGAGCTCAACTCCATGGTTCACACCAAATGGCCCTTGGAGAAACACAACAGGAACAATATTTTCATAGCATTGCTATAGCAAAAATGCCAAATTGGAGGATTTGTTGTTTGTCTTTGCTTTGTGTGAACGTAAACTGGATTCTTGGGTTTTGGACAGAAAACAAGTTATTTGCAGATGGTCCCTTGAGCTTTAGGAGATTGTGATGGGCACATTTTATAAACCAAACCATTATCAAATAAACCAGGAAAATAATCAGCAGGAAAGGAAAATAACAATTGCAGTCCTAATATTAATGCTGATTTGTAGGCACACACTGTACTTTCTTTGTAAATTTGTTTAACTAGATTTTAACATCTGACCTCTTCCCACACATGAAAACAAGGGTACACTATGCTCACCTATAATAAGGCCAACCATTGTGCTCAGGTAGCCGGTTCCGCTGCCCAGATTGAGGAAAGAAAGTGCTGGCTGCAGTTTGAGGGCCTCCATCACCTCAGAGTATATACACGGAGCGGACAAGTGTATGTTGCCATGCTTCCACGCCAAGTCTTTGTAGGCACTGTCCCGGTAGCCGTCCAGATAGTAGTCCCCTCGGTCTATGGCCCGAAAAGCCTGTTCAACTTTTTCTGTGCGAATATACTGGGCCTCCTTCAGATTATCAATGAGGTCATCATTGTCCTCCCCAGCGCTCACGGCTCCCCCCATGGTGAAAAGAGAAGAGAAACACAAGGGCCGAACTCGTACTCAGGATGAGTGATTCCTCCTCAGAGTGGCATGGAGATGAACGTTTAGCTGAAGGATGCTGCCGCTTGTGACTCCTCAAAACGTCAGCTCAGACAACGGTCATTTTCAGGCAGCAAGTGACCTGAGAAAAATGAAATAAACACGTTATGGCATTCTGAGGGAATACAGTGTCTGGTTAAACCTACAAGTATAGAGTGCAGATTTAAGATGCTAATAAAAGTGAAGATTCATTAATCTTCTTCTACCTACAACTGGGATTGTCTTTTTTTCACAGTTTTGTTTACAAGAAGTCCTATTTCCACGTAGTAATACAGTATACCCAGAATATACACACACACACACACACACACACACAACATATGCTTGCCAAGTTGTTTACGCTTATTCAACGTATACAAGCCTTTTTCACAACAGACATTTTGACATTTTGAAGCAGGGAGAGCACAGGTGTAATTAATATCCATAATGACGGCTTACTTCAATTTAGGTTCAAGGGCCCTAGCATAACACAAACTGGCTCACGAGCATTGGCTTACTGGGACACTTCATGGAAAAGAGCCATTGTGAATGTAATTTGTTACATCAGTGATTTTTCTGCAAATACACTGCCAACTACGTAGCTCTATTCGACATGTTGAAGAGGTTGTACAAAATGAAGTACGAACTATTTTCAGAATGTGTTACAATATATGTAATACAAGAAAATATCCTACATGTACATTTGTTGGTTCAGTTTGAGGTCTATGACAGTAAGTAGACTGATATCTTTAGGTTTTAGCTGGACAAAAAAAGCCATTTGAAGACGTGATGAACATTTTTAAAAATAATTTCTGAGATTTTAAAAGACAGAACCATTAATTAAGAAGATAATTGGCAGGTTAATCAATAATAATCACGAGTTGCAGCTGTAATATTTTTAGCGACAAACTGAATTCACTTGCTGTTTCGGATACTGTCACAACACACGCCTAAATAAAGCTGTGTGCCTAAGTGTTATAGTACATGAGTGGAGCCTGCCATGCCCAGAGGATAGGTGTTACATAATAGATCACTGACATTAGGGGTGGGCAATCATGGGACATGTAACTTTATATGCAATATGGATATTTATTGTCACAGTATTAGGTTTCTGTAACATCTACTGATCCAACAAACTGTTGATGGATAAATAATTCAAAGTAACCAGGCACAATTAATCAATTAACTGTTTGGTCTTTTATAGACCCAAAAAGTGTGAAAAATGTGAAGTCTATCACAGTATCTCAGAGCACGGGGTGATCAAATATCTTGTTTTGCCCAACTAACTAATATTCAGCTTGTGATAATAGAAGCAAATTCTAACATCTAACAAAACCTGGAAGTATCAAATGTTACATGCGGTTATTTACTGGCTTTACTATGCAATTTTCTACTATTAAGTACCACATTAAAGCAAGAAAAAGGAAATTCCTAACACATGGTGGCCTTTAAACATTTTATAGAGGCTTTGATAACTAAAATACCACACAGTGGCACAGACTGAATGGGTATAGCTGCAGATGGAGCCAAGGGAGACAAGTCTTGAATTCCCTCTCTGCCTCCTCAGCATCTCCACATCTGACTCAGCTAATACAGATTAAATTCAGAGGTGACTTTGTAGTAGGAGGCCTGGTAAGGTAATTTTCCATTGGCTCTTTCTCACAAGCAAAAAGAATCATTGATTCGCTCACCGAATCACTGATTGTACAGCAGTGGATTTTTTATCCTATTTTCCCCCTCTACCCTCTCTGTTTTGCATAGTCCTTTGAGTTGCTTGCAGTTGAAAGAAAATCTAGGAAAATGGGTCAGTGGAGGTATTCTAGCAAATTGCTTTTTTGGTACTGCTGTACAGTCGTACCACTGATAAGTCTTGAAACAGGGGTCATTATTCACCCACTCCTTTAACACAAATAAAAAAGGACCAGGTAGGAAATAACATTTGTTGCTATAGTGAAGCTAGCCCTGTACAGAAAAAAGGCCTCTATAAATGTGAGTCCAGTGGTAAACACACACTGGGTGTCCTGGGTTGACCCCCGGTGTGTATGGAAAATGCATCAACACCATCCCAGGTCATGACGGGCTGCTGTGACCCGGTTAGGGACAACTCGCTGAACCATGCAGAATGACAAAACATGTAAGCGATCCTCTGGCAGCTAAAGATCAACTCTAGTGCTGTAACTAAATACTAAAGGCCTGTCTAGGCAGCAAACGGAGCTGTACGCACTGCTGATCCACAGACAGTGGGAGGTAAACTGATGACCATCATGACAACCAGCATTTACACTTTAAATTCAGACATTTTATCAGCTAATTTGCAGCTCTGTTTTTTTTTTTTATATACATCTGTGGCAAAATACCAGAGCTCAGTGTCATTTGTATTAGTGGAAACTAATCACATGTATCAATAAATCTTAAAATAAATCTACAGTCACAAGTCTCACATTTGCATACATTCATTTGTGATGCTATAATGACAGATTACAACATTTGTAATGAGTGATGACTTGAGTTTCAAAGCTGCAAAGACATCTTATATTAATCATTTTCATACTGTTTCCATACGACTTGCGAATATACAAATTTTGCCTGTAAATTTACGTTTCTTGGGGCCGATGTGCGGGCAATTTGCCCCAAATTCAGTAGTAGGGACTGTGCTGTGTTTCTCTCCACACTGAGTGAGATTAAAATAATTTAAATAAAAGACTGCTAATGGCATGGCTCTGGGGATGTTGGTTGGTCAGTCTGTATGTTGGTCCAAATTAATCTGATGACTGCCCAAGTCCTCATCTAGTGGCACCAGCAGGTCACATTTTCCACTTGTCCGACATTTTCTTTCATGACAAGATACCTCAAACACTAATTACCCACTTCCTGTTAAATGTGCTGTGGATACCCATGGCACATGGAAGATAAATGATCATGACTTTTCTAGCACCACTGAAATGTCCAGTTTTACAAATCCTACCTCAGAATATTTAAAGTGGGATACGATGATAGATCTTTTGGGCTTTAATGACCTACTGACCCCTCCTCTAGCGTCAACCCCAGGACAAACTTCTACATATAACCTCTCATTATGTTTTCTAAAAGGGAAGATAGTCACTGTAGCAGGTTTACGCTCCCCATAGGAAGAAGTTTGGTTTGACCTCTCAGGTCACTGTCTTCGTATACAATAGTAATACACATGTTACAGTATCATACTTATAACTGTACTTAAGTAGCTTTTTTCACATATCTGTACTTTACTTTTACAACTACTTACAACTTTTTACTTTTCCTCCTACATTTTTACACAAATATCTCTACTTTAGTCTCGTTTTCAAAACAGGCAGATAGTACTTAATTACTTTTAACAGCTGGTAGTGAGTGTGTTTTACTTTGAGTACATTTCAGAGCCTGTACTTTCTTTTCTTTTTTTAGCAAAGTAGTTGAACCACTTTAGTTTTTTATCACACAAGTAATGTGTTAATCATGCGTGCACTTCTGCCACCCCCGATGAATACGAGGGAGAGGCATATCCTCCATTTACAGCTCTGCTTTCTGTCAGTTCCGCTGTTAGTTAATGATTATTTTTATTTGATGTAGCCTCCATGTTGTTGAAAATCTTTGTACTGTCTAACCCACTGGTACAATTCAACTGAATATCCAACCCTGTGAGAACGGGATTTCTTTTTAATTCACTGTATATGACTGATTTCTGTTTTTAAAAAAATATTTTGCCATTACAGATGTGTGTCTTCCTCTCCAGTTATACAGTTTTGGGCAATGTTAATGTCAATATCATCAAGACTTATTCTTTCATTTCTACACAAGATATCTTTTCACCGTTACGACCGTTCCTCTAGTACCATCCTCAGAAAGACTACCAAGCAGTCCTCTGAACATGTTCATGCTGAGTAGTGGATAATTAAGTTTGATTTAAGTAACAGTGCGGCCTTTCTTCTGACTCCACACATTTCTCTTTATTTATGCAAGTTTGACCACTGGATTGTGTTAATTAGCCACAATCAGCCATGGGATGTGACAGAAGGCTAACAACAGGAACCGACTCCATGCGAGTGCGTTTGTGTGAAACAGCTCAGATTTTCAGAATTCACCAGCCCTCCAGTTGTTTCTCTGATTCTCCTCCCCTGACTTCAGCTCCTATTGTCTGCATATTCATGAAAAGAGCTCATGCAGTTTTGGATAAATGTGGTTTTTTTTTTAGCTTAATTCATTGTCTTTCACTCAATTTGTGGCACCTAAAATGAACCTGCAACTTTAACTTTAAAAGCAATGACCTTGCATCCAAAGTTCCCTTTGCTTTCAGTCTGAACATATCTTTAAGAGAGCAAACATTTTATCCGTTTTTTTTTCTCCTGATGTGTAATGAGAATGATAGGATCACAGGGCTGCCAACAAGGCCACAGACTGCTGTTAACTGCTGTCAACACTGTGTCACAGAGGCGTGCATTCAACCGGAGCTGAAGTCTTTTTAAAGCCAAAAATCACTGGTTCCAGCTTCTGAAATGTGAGTATCCGCTGCTTTTCTTTGTCATATATCAAACTAATTGGATTGGAATGATAGTAGGAGAGAATAAGATGTCTGAAGATGCCATAATGGACAGGGAGAAACAAAAATGGGTATTTTCTTACATTATATAACACTATTAATGAACAGTAGATAATTTAACTTGTAGATTGATAACTGTTAGTTGCAGCCATAGTCTTTAGGATTTGCCATCATGTAGATAATAAATGGTTCCAGCTGTTCAGTTGTGAAGAGCTGCTACTTTTTCTTTGTCTTGTGTGACAGCAAACTCAGTTTTGGACTGATGGGAGAGAACAAGCAATTTGATGATATTTTCTTCAGGATTCAGGAAGTTGCAATGTGCATTCTCACTATTTTCATACAGTTTAAAATAATTATTTGCAGAATAAATTGACAATAATCATCAGTTCTGTGGTTCTATTAAACTCTTTTTTCAGAAACAACTCACCAGTGGTGGAAGGTAACTAAGTACATTTACTCAAATACTATGTTTAGGTACTTACAATATTTACATTTTTTACTACTTTATACATCCACTCCACTTTAATTCAGAGAAAAACACTACACTTTTCACTGCACTACAGTATTGAAATACCTTTAGTTACCTTACAGATTCAATTTAACAATAACAAAATATAATAGACAAATAAATTATGCTGTTTTATTATCAATTAAAATAAGGCTTCATTGATCCTGGGGGGGAATTCACATGCTGCTCAGCAATATATAAAGTAATTCATATTAGCTCCACCTTTAAAAGCTGCAACATTAAGGAGATGTACACATTAATGCATCAATAATCATAATATATTAATATAATGCGATTCTGAAATGTGTATAATAAGTGCTTTTCCTTTTGGTACATTAAGTATAATTTGATTTCAGGTCAGTTTTGAATCACAAGACAGTTATTTCTACTTCTTCCACCACAGCAACTGAAATAAATGAAGCGGTTTAATATAGCTGTAACGTTGCTTCACATCACACAGGTGTTTCTATATCAGTCAGGTGTGTACATGCAGTGATGTACACACCGCACACACTAATAACTGACACCTGATGAAGCCAATCAGCTCTCCCCCTGGTCACGTGTTGCAGTTGCCAGCAGCAGCAGCCAATCAGCAGCCGGGAACACTTTCTTCGCACTGCGTGTGACGATGGAGCAAAACAACAACAGCGTTTTTCACCGAAACGTTGTCGAGCTTTATTAACCAGTGTCAGCCCCTCTCTCACATCCAGCTCCCGTCCACATGTGTGTGAGATAACATGGCGTCAAAAAGCGTTCATGACACACACAGGGGAGAGGTAGATAAAGGGTGAACACGGTGTGTGTGTGTGCGCATTCGTCCCCAGCTTTTGTTCCCACTTGTCGACCAACAACGCAGTCAGTGCTCTCTCTCTCTCTCTCTGCAGTGCGATTAACCTCAATCTTTTTCAACAGCGAAAAAAAAATAGCTCAACCGGTTTGTGAGGAAGAGGTTGACATATCTTATTAAATAAATAAATATGTATATTAATAACTGCTGCAGGGAGAAAAGAAAAATCCCACAGAAACAAAACGCAAACAAAAGATTTTGTTTCTGGGACTCTTCCGCCTGGTGGAGTTAAAACTCAAAACATCGCACTGAATGTGTGAATGTCGCTAAAAACGTAAGCGACGCTGGACAAGAAAACAAAAACATGGGTTGTTGTTGCTTTGTTTTTTTTAAATGCAAGATAATAAAAGTGCATTAGCGTCCGGACATCGCCATCTGAGTGTTATAAGCAGTGCACCTACAGCTAGCGTTAGCAGTAGTGTGGGCCTGAGTGCGCCATCATTAAACACAGAGACAAAAGCAGAGTTTGGGGAGGTAAAGCTCGCGTCTTTATCCTACCCGTTACTCTCGCTAGCACACACAACAACAACAACAACAACAACAACAACAACTAGCTAGCCAGCTAGCTTAGCGTGTCGCGGTTTAATAAAGGATGCACAACAACACCAGCTGGTCAGCTGAAAGACAAAAACACGTCTGTTAGAAGAAAGAAAACAAGAAATAATACTCACAACGCCGTGTCGCATTAACTGGATGTGCAATGCGACGGTCAGTGATAGTGGCTTTTCAGACGTTTACAGCCTCCCCCCCCCCCTCTCTCTCTC